TAAAGGAACGAGAGGTACAGGCCACTATGGACAGATATGTTTGTGCGAAAGAAGTCCAGTGACTCTGAAGCTGGTCCTAGTGGCATTAAAAGAAGAAGGAAGTAACCCCAGAAAAGGACTCGACACCTCAAGTCTTAATGGAAGGGGATTCCCCTTCTAAATACTAACACTCTCTCTCCCCCTCCTCCCATCCCATCAATCATCACCAGATCTTCAATAAAAGTAAGTGTCATGTAATTGTGCATGCCTTTTTCAGTTTGTGTGTATTAAAATTAACATTTCATGTGGTAAAGTTTTTTTTTTTCATACTTTTGGGTGTCTTGCACGGATTAATTTGATTTCCATAATTTCTTAGGGAAAATCATTCGCATACCGAACATTTCGCATAACAACCAGCCCTCTTGCACGGATTAAGTCGCTATGGCGGGGGTCCACTGTACTCAAATGAGAAACAAGATCTCCCAACCCCTCAACATTTGTTTTATCGTGAACCTATTCGTCTGATATTTTAAGTGTAACTCATGCCTGTAGTGCTAGCCAGTTTTCCTCTGAATCACCTGGCTAAGGACCCATTCTGAATCATCCTCATCATGCAAATCTCTGAAACTGTTTGTCAAGCTCATAATCTCAATACGGAACTTCTCTAGGCTTTGACGGTCATGTCGGCAAGCCTCTAGATCCAACAACCGATAAAGTATAGCTACCTTTATCTCCTCAGTGTTGCCAAACATGTCTTCTAATTGGTCTTGGCATGTTGGTAATTAGTGTCAGTAATCTGGATGCCGGACCAGGTCTAAGGCTTTACCCTTGAGCTGCGACCGCAAATACTTCAACTTGACGGCATCTGACAAATCATTCCTGTCATCTATCTGGCTCTAAACTGATCCCAGAAAGCAATGTACTCTGTTAAGGTTCCGTCGAACGTTGTATATTCAACTGGGCAACTTGGGCAACATATTGACAGTGTGTGGTTGTTTGGGGTACCTGCGGTGTTCAACCCCACCCTTGGAATACTAGCCTTTAATGTACTTAACTTATCTTGTACATATTCATCCTCCTGATGACAATCTACATCATCCTTAGTGAATTCGTCCATAGCCTGCTGAAGACTTCCCTGGGATTCATCATCCTCAATAGCCTGTTGCTCATATGCTGAGAATGCTTGTTCATAGGCTTCCCATTTTTCCCCCAAACTCTTCAAGCAGTCTTGCAAATCATCGCAGTCTACATTACTGCGTTGGCAAGTAGCCTTGCACCTGTTACGCGTTCTGTTCAGATGCCCTTTGTATGCTGCTACTGATCGTTTTAATTTTGTTAACACTGAACCAGACTCTCCTGAACCCCCATCTGCCATTGTCGAAGTTAATGAGGAGTGTGACACTAATTGTACTTTACCCAGTCCACCCCACAGCACGATCACAGTGTTAGCAAGAATGAACAAGTCTTAAGGCTTCTCAACAGCTTAACAATTCCCTTTGTTTATACTGACTCTACTATGAATCAAAAATGTACACTGTTAGCTCTCAAATCCCAATCAAAGATGTGTATCAATGTGAAAGCTTAACCTAGCACTTAACTGTACAATGCCAGCAAATAATTACAGGACTTAACCTAGTCTCAGGTATAATTCACAAATCCCACATTAACATGAATCAAAAACAATGAAAATCACACACTAAAAGTGCAGTATACAAATTAAAATCACTTGGTTAACACAAGTAAATTCAACAATTCAACTTGTGAAACAGTAAATGAATAATGTATGTAACCAGCTTGGCCTAACTGTGCCCAGCTTACTCTGTCTAGCATGGATGGTTGGATAAGGTAAATCCTAACCTAGCTAGTGTGCTATAACTTAAACCTGGCTTTATACTCCCTGTAAATAATAACTAGGTTAAATCTGTCCTAGCTACTATAACTTTGTAAAAATTTGCACAAGCCTAGCCTAACTGTGGCTACCTTGCAAATCCACTGTAAGTAATCAACACACAAGTCTCCTACTCTGGATTACTTGTAATCACTGTAAATAATTAAATTCACAGCTTCTCTAGCCTACCTGGCCTGCCTGTAAATTACTGCAAATACAACTTCTGTGTATAGTCAGCTTAGCCTAGCCTCTGTGTAACTTTGACCTAGGTGTGCTAACTTAACCTAACTTTTTAAACTGGTTCCTAACTGTGGCCTAGCTATGATAGCTTAACCTAACTCTGTAAGACTGGTTCCTAACTGTGGCCTAGGTATGATAGCTTAACCTAACTCTGTTAAACTGGTTCCTAACTGTGGCCTAGTTATGATAGCTTAACCTAGCTATTCCACATCACGGTTTCGAAGGACCACTTTGTGAAAATTTGTGTGGACTGCCTCCAAGTGAGTCGCCTACCCTGGCAAACTCTGTTGACACCGAGCTCTGAGGTGGGTACCTCAGCCTCACAAGTGGCTTATAGGACAGATTTTCACAAATGATTGGTATTGCAAGAAACCTCGCCTGCATGCATGTATAAAGGACTAACTTACTTGGTGTTGCAGCATATATCCTGATCTTCAACTTCCCTAAGCTTAGCTTTAGCAACCCTTTGGACTTTCCCTCAGAAACCACGTGCAACCGGGAGCCTTAATTCCTGCAATATTCAATCGTAATTAGTGTCCTGCCTGCACCTCAGAAATTCCTATATCCAAGAGGGTATGTATCCCCTAGTATAACTATGCAGACTCAGACACTAGCTTCCAACTGCTCTGAGACACTGGTACTTACTGGCATGCTCTGCCAGCTGCAACACAGGCCCACAGATAAACTCACAATCTCCCCAGACACTGGCCAGAAATCTACGAGATAAAGGAGGTCTTGTCTTACTGTATGGGCCTGACGGAGGAGGTCATCTACGGTACATCGAGGTGCCTCTAACCAGATTTCCCCAGTCTCAAATGTGAAGACACGTGGGGGCGCCGTCTGCTGATCACGGCACGTCTTGTCCAGTTGGTGTCTGTCTTAAGAAGAACGAGCTGGTCCTCCCTTCCAGACCCTCGTCTCTTCGTTCAAACTAGGGCTGCCAGTTCTCCCTAGCTAACTTATCCTAGTGTTTGCCTACATTATCGGCCTATTACTACCTATGTTAAGGTCTTAGGTCTACTTATCATTATCTATAGATGCCTTAGTAAACCTAATATAGTGTACTACCAGTAAAACTACCTACTCCTTCCCTGAAGAGTAAATCTATAAATTAAATACATGCCTACCAAGAATCCATCGCGACAAGAGAATGCTTCCCTGTTTGGGTGGGGTATAAGGGCCATCCAGCTCAGCCATCCCATACGGCCATGCTGGAATCTGCCCTGTGGAATTTTAGGGACCAAATAAATTTCCACACAGCTGTTGCTGGACCAGTCAGCTGTTGCTGGACCAGTCAGCTGTTCCTGGATCAGTCAGCTGCTGCGCAACCACGGTCACTGCTGTTGCACCATCAGCTGTTTCTGAACATGACTCGTCCCGAACCTGTCCGTCCAGCCTGAGCGCCTGCCTTGCCATCATTGTTTACAAGCCAGGGTGGCCGGTTGCATGCATACATTCGATACATTTTGTATTATTCCATTATTTATAGTGCTTGTAAACTGCTAAATAAGCCACAATGGCCCAAAGAAAGCTTCTAGTGCCAACCCTGTGGTAAAAAGGGTGATAAATACTATCGTACCACAGTCAGCTGCTGCTGCTGCACCACGGTCAGCTGATAAATTGGACCAGTCAGCTGTTGCTGCACCACAGCTGTTGTTGTTGCTGCACCACCATCAGCTGTATTACTCAAAGATGTGGAGAGAGTGTTGTTGGTGTGGCTTAACGTGAAACAATTACCGAGAAACGATTAACCCCGGAGGGTTAGCCACCCAGGATAACCCAAGAAAGTCAGTGCATTATCGAGGACTCTAACTTATTTCCATTGGGTCCTTAATCTTGTCTCCCAGGATGCAACCCACACCATCGACTAATACCTAGGTGAACAGGGAAAAATGCCTGGAACTAGTGCTCATATTGGTGAATTAAAAGCCAGCAAAGGTTGGTTTGAGAGATTTAAGACTCATAGTGGCATACACAGTGTGATAAGGCCTGTTCTGGAAGAAAATGCCAAACAGGACCTACAGTACTCAGGAGAAAAAGGCACTCCCAGGACACAGTGTCTCATCAGTCATTGCTGCATCTTCAATAAAGGTAAGTGTCATTTATTCTTCATTTAGTAGAGTAGTAACATGCACAATATATACTGTGCATGTACTACTCTACTATTGTGCATGTATCCTTCTCTTTGTGTGTAGGAAAATGTATATTTCATGTGGTAAAAATTTTTTTTTCATACTTTTGGGTGTCTTGCACGGATTAATTTGATTTCCATTATTTCTTATGGGGAAAATTCATTTGCATAACGATAATTTCACATAACAATCAGCTCTCATGAACGGATTAATATCGTTATGCAGGGTCCACTGTATAAGAGGGGCCTAGAGATGTGACTAATGAACAGAGGATATGTTATTTTAGTGCCAAGACTGTCTACATTGTTTATTCGGGATCCTATTTTGAAATTGGCATCTTTTTTAATTTGCGTAAAATTGTCTGAACTGCCAATTTCTGACCACTTTATTGGGTAGTTCCAATTGGTAAATGGGCAGTTTCTTGTACTCATCTGATAGAAAAAATGAAGTTCTAGAGAAATAGCTATGAGTTTGTTCAACTGGAAGAATAGAATTGGCCAAAAACAGGGCTCAAAGTTGGCAAAATCGCCGATGCGTATATGTCGCCGAGACTGCTAACTTCGCGGGAGCATAATTCCGTGAGTTTTCTACCAAATTTCATACATTTTGTGTCATTACCATCGGGAAAAGCTTCTCTATCATTTCACAAGAAAAAATAATTGTTTTTTTTTTTTTCCAAAAATTTTGCGACATAGAATGACAGTTTCAGAAAGGGGCTTGTGGCAGTCAAAGGGTTAATTCTATTACTAACTTTATATAAGTTAATATATGTATGTCTGGCATTTATGTTCATTTATAAATAGAAAAAATGGCATTCTGCTTTCTGGTGATGTCTGCTTTCTGGCGATGTCTGCTTTCTGGTGATAGCCTGGAACCTAACCTGCTGTGTAAGTGGGGCCCTACTGTATTATATAAATAAACTTCAGTATAGAGTGATCCAGTAAACACCAGGAGTAAATACATAACACATTAAGTACACTTACTTGTGCACACAGAGTTTCTGATGCTGATAATGCTTCTTGAGTGTTAAAGTTGTCAGGGTGACCCTCAGGAGTATACTTCAATAACTGAAAAAATAATGATGTATATATATTAAACAAGACAGAAAGACAGACAGACATACATATGATGAGAGCAACAAAACAATGGTAGACACACTAACTGAGGGCCCACATGTGTAGAGCAAAGTTACTCATCATGGGAAAACTTCAATCACAAGGAGATTGACTAGAAAAACTTGTGGGACCAGAAGCATGGAGGGCTAAAATGCTGGAGGTGCTACTACAAAACTTCATGCAGCAACATGTTAGGGGCACAATCGGAGAGAGAGGAGAGGATGAATCAACAAAACTGGACCTCATATTCACCTTGAGTAGTTCTGACTGTTAATGATGAGCTCCTAAAAATATCTACTTGGGTGATGATCAAAAAACTCATCCTCAATGTAGACAAAACCTACTACAAACTATTTGGAAACAGAGGTTTAACTATCCAACTTAACATATTGATAAATGGTTTCCCCATTACAAGACACACTGAGGGCAAATTTTTAGGTCTTCACCTTGACTGTAACCTGAAATTCCATACCCACATCCAACACATAGCCAAGAAAGTCTCCAAAACAGTAGGCATCCTCTCCAAGATACGGTACTATGTATTGCATTACTTATACTATACCACTCCCTAATCTACCCTTACCTCACCTATGGTATTTGCGTCTGGGAATCTACGATGGCTAATCATCTTAAACCATTATTCTCTGCATATTAAGGGAATTTTTAGGTAGTAGGTTGGTAAACAGCAACCACCCAGGGAGGTACTACCGTCCTGCCAAGTGAGTGTAAAACGAAAGCCTGTAATTGCTTTACAATGAAGGTAAGATTGCTGGTGTCCTTTTTGTGTCTCATAAACATGCAAGATTTCAGGTACGTCTTGCTACTTTTACTTGCACTTAGGTCACACTACACATACATTTAAATTTTTTTTTATTAACACACTGGCCGATTCCCACCAAGGCAGGGTAGCCCGAAAAAAAAACTTTCAACCACCCATTCACATCCATCACTGTCTTGCCAAAGGGTGCTTTACACTACATGTACAAGCATATATATACACACCCCTCTGGGTTTTCTGCTATTTTCTTTCTAGTTCTTGTTCTTGCTTATTTTCTCTTATCTCTATGGGGAAGTGGAACTGAATTCTTCCTCTGAAAGCCATGTGTGTTGTAAGAGGCGACTAAAATGCTGGGGCAAGGGGCTAAAAAACCCTTCTCTTGTATAAATTACTAAATTTAAAAAGAGAAACTTTTGTTTTTCTTTTTGGGCCACCCTGCCTTGGTGGGATATGGCTGGTTTGTTGAAAAAAAAAAATTAAGGGGATTTCTGCATGCAAACCTATATGTCATTCACCACTGAACAAATATTGTATCATGCTGAAATAAAGAATCTTAATCTTAATCTTAATTAATAAGCCAACAAAAAGCTACCATGGTGATTATCATCCATTCCTGTGCCAGACAACACATGCCCACCGCTCTTCAAGAGTTTAAACTTACTAAATACAGGTCCTCCATCACAAATCCGGCATCATTGGGACCTTAGTGTGCCGGATTACTGAGTTTGCCAAATTACAGAGTGGTTAAGTTAGAAACACTTAATAAAATTAACCAACTAACTTAAACAGTTCATTGAACATCGGCAAAAATCGAACATTTCCGCTACTTTGAGCTCAATTTCCCAAAGGTACTTTTCATCATGAAAGCAATCAAAATCATGTCTATTTCTGTAATATATCTTCCAATATATCAAATGAGTCCAAAAAATGAGAATACAACCATAAAAACCATACGAAAATATACTGCAAAGAGGCGGCTAAAAGCTGAGAAGTGAACTCCCTTATTTTATCGTCCGTCATTTTTATTTTTGTTGTACGTTAAGAAGCATCTTTCCATCATACATTGCCCAAGTTTCAATGAGATAGCCCAACAAACAACCGAGAAAAAAATATATTTACCAAAAATCATATATGGTAAGCCCAAGCCAGGTACTGGAAATAAATCACTTTGACTTTTCTGGGTTATCCTAGGTTCTCTATACATACGCTGCTAATGTATGATAATCTATGTAACTGTATTTGTGTATACCTGATTAAACTTATTTAAATTCTAGTCTGTCAACTGAGTACAAGAAACCGCCCATTCACTTATTTCAACTACCCAATAAAGTGTCAGAAATTGGCAATTTGGGCCGATTTCACCACAAATTTCAACAGATGCCAATTTCAAAATAGGATCCAGAATAAACAATGTAGACATTCCTGGCACTAAAATAACATTTTCTCTGTTCATTAGTCATGGCTACAGGCCCCTCTTATATTACTCTTGCTTACCATTTGGAATTTTTATTCACAAAAAAAAAAAATAAAAGATTTACTGTTATGCAGACTGCTGCATTATTGTAATAATTGTATAAATAATGTCAATCCATTCCCTTTACTCCGTACTGGAATTTAGACTGGCAGGCGGACAGGTATTGGACGGTGACGTCATTTGTCTAACCCTTGAGCTTCGCTATAGAATAGAACATCATCGCTACTGTGAGCGCAATTTCAAGGTACTTTTCGTCATGAAAGCAATCAAAATCATATCTATTTCTTTAATATATCTTTCATTCCCGTCAAATGAGACCGAAAAAATGAGAATATAACCATAACAACTATACAAAAATATACCGCTAAGCGGCCGCTAATGGCTGAGAAGTGAACTCCGCTATTTATGGTCTGATTTCTTTTCATTTTTGGTGTACGTTAAGAAGTATCTTTCCATCATACATTGCTCAAGTTTGAATAAGATAACCCAAAAAAAACTGAGAAAATAATAATAATAATAATAATATAATAATAATAATAATAATAACAAGGGAACAGAGGGAAAATTCTTAGGAATCCACCTTGATAAGAGACTCAAAAATTTTATACACATATACAACAAATTTCTAAGAAAATTTCCAAGACTGTAGGCATACTATCGAAGATATGGTACAGTTCCACGTCAGCCCTCCTGGCCCTTTTCACTCTCTTTTTTTTACCCCTACTCACCTAGGAATTTTTGGCATGGGGCTCAACAAAATTAACCATCTCAGACCCAAATTTACCCAAAAAAAGGGCGCAGTTAGAATGATAACAAATTCTCATACAGGCAGCACACTCCCCAAAATATTAAAAAACACTCAAACTACTCACCATACAAAACATCCAACTTTTTTACTGCACCTATTACATAAAAAAACTTAACTCTGTTTTAACCTCCCCTCAAACATCTCCTTGCCCAACCCAACAAACACAGCCAAACACAAACCCACAATCCTTTTATGCCTGCCCATCTCACCTATAAAAAATAAATGAATAAAAGCCCAAAAATCGGCTTACCTTTAAAAAATAAAAGAAAACTACCTTTTTTATAAATTAACCTTTTAAAAGTTACACCCCCCAAAAAAAACCAAAAAACCCTGAAAACTAACCCTTAAAAAAATTTAATATCCTAAGTTACCCCAAAAATTAAATACAAAAATTTTTAAACCTAGGACCCAATCTAATTTGGTTTTATTTTTTTTAAATTACCTCAAATATCCCATTACTGAATGTAAACATGCGCCCATAGATGTTTTTTTAAAATCATTGGCTTTTAGATCGACAAATGTTTTATATTATTTCATCTTGCTTAGTAATTTAAATTAAAAGTCACCCCCGAACTTAATAAGTGGCTTTTGGCAGCTGCTTTCCGTATTTTTTTCCCTCTGATTTGCTAAAATTAAAATAAATAAATAAATTAATATCTTTTTTTTACTCACGTACAGACAGGTTCACCTACTGACATAGAAGAAAGTTTATTATTAAAAGAAACGTTACATAGAATTATCCTCCTAGCGCAAATTGTAGGAAATGGATAAAAAAAAGTCAACACGGATTATTCCCAAAAAGACCTTTTCCCTTATATTAAATATAAATTTTTAAATTTTTTTTCAAAACAAAATGAAGAAACTCTTTTATCATACTAAAAAACACTACTACATGGGGGGTCATTAAGACTATCTACAATACAGGGCACTGTCTACAATACGAGTGACATACTACTGATAGAAAGGCATTTGTTTCGAGATTTAAAGAAAATGGGTCAGTGCCCGGGTAAAACCCACACAGTCGACTAACACCCGGGTACCCATTTACTGATGGGAAAACATAGACAACAAGTAAAGAAACACGCCAAATGTTTCTACCCGGGCTGGGAACGAATATTACCAAAAAATCACATATGGCAAAATTTCCAAGTTAGGTACTAAAAATAACCACGTTATTTTTTGGGGTATCCTAGGTTCTCTACCATATGCTGCAGTGTGATAATCTATAGAGAGAAAATTTTTTTGTTTCACTTTAGGGGGAACGAGTGTACAGGGGACCCCCGCATACCGACCTAATCCGTCAAGGGGGGCTGGTTGTTAGCGAAATTTTTCGGAAATGCGAATGAATTTTCCCCATAAAAAAAATGGAAAAAAATTTAATTCGTGCAAGACACCCAAAAGTATGAAAAAAAAATTTTTACCCTGAAATATACATTTTCCACACACAAAGAAAAGGGAACAGCACAATATAGAGTAGTACATGCACAATAATATTGTGCAGTACTACCTACTAAAAAAAGAATAAAATGACACTTCCCTTTTATTAAGATGCGCAATGACTGATGAGCACTGTGTCCTGGGAGTGCCTTTTCCTCCTGAGTCTGTGGGTCCTTTTTTGGTATTTTCTTCCAACACCCCTTATCACACTGTGTATGCCACTCGATTCTTAAATCTCTAAAACCAAATCTTGCGGGCTCAAAATTCACCAATATGAGCACTATTCCAGGCATTTTCTCTGTTCACCGGGGTGTTAGTCGCGGTGGGGGTTGCACCCCGGGAGACAAGATTAAGGACCCCAAGGGAAATAAGTTAGACAGTCTTCGATGACACTGATTTTTTTGGTTATCCTGGGGGCAAACCCCTCTGGGGTTAATTGTTTCTTGGTATTCTCA